GGGGGGGGGGGCTCCCTCCACCCCTGGCAGAGTGCAGGGACCTGTGCAGCAGGGGATGGGGAAGGCAGCAGGGTCTAGTGCTGGGCTTCCCCTGCTGCAAGTGCTGGAGCTGCAGGCTTGCAGCACAGAGCCCCAGTGAAAGAGGTAGCTAGGCAGTGTTTTCCCCACCATGCGCGGTGCTGATCAGAGCTGTGCCCCACTGGGTGCCTGCACCAGCACAAGCGCCCTGACTTCCCCACTTGCTGCTGCTGCTGGCAGTGGGGGCTGCATGCCATGGGGGGAGTGTGTGGAGGGGCCCCTACACCCTCTACCCTCACACCCTGCCCAGCCCAGCCAACCTGGTGGGTGCAGGCTTCACGTTGTGCTCTGTGCTTCTGCCCAGTTGCCCCAGGCAAGTTGGACTTCCAGGAAGCCAAGCAGGTTTCTGTGGGGCAGCTGCAGCAGGAGCCGTGCCAGGAAGCTGCTGCTGACTGGGCAGGGCCCTTCTGCCCAAGAAGTGGGGAGCGAGGTGCAATAGGTTACATTATGGGGGGTGTACACATGGGTGCCTCACTCCCAGCCTTGTGGGGAGAAGGGCTGGGTAGGGGACAGTTTGTTGTGGGGTGCTGCAGGCCAAGTGCCTGGATCTGGCCCACAGGCCGCATTTGGCTACCCGTGCAATAGGTGGATGTGAATGTGCTAATACTTCTCTCCTCTGTCTTTAGGTATAGTAAAGATGAGAGATTGCTACTATAACGAGACCGTAGGTTTTTTCTACAACAATAGTCGAAAGGAGCTGACGACCTACTGGAGGACAAAAGATGTCTTGGTTGTTGCCCTGGGCCTTACAGTCAGTGTCATTGTGCTCCTGACCAACTTGCTGGTCATCACTGCTATAATCATTAACCGGCGCTTCCACTATCCCATCTACTACCTGCTGGGGAACCTGGCAGCAGCAGACCTCTTTGCCGGCATTGCTTACATGTTCCTCATGTTCCACACGGGGCCCCGGACAGCAGGGCTCTCCCTAAAGACGTGGTTCATCCGGCAGAGCCTCCTGGACACCAGCCTGACTGCTTCTGTGGTGAATCTGTTGGCCATTGCAGTGGAACGGCACCAGACTGTTTTTACCATGCAGTTACACAGCAAAATGTCCAACCAGCGAGTGGTGTTTCTGATTTTCTGTATCTGGATCACAGCCCTACTGTTGGGCCTTATTCCTTCCTATGGCTGGCACTGTCTGTGTGCCCTTGACAAGTGCTCCAGGATGGCACCTCTCTACAGCAGGAGTTATCTCACCTTCTGGGCCATTTCCAACCTGGTCATCTTCCTTATCATGGTGGTTGTCTACACTCACATCTTCATCTATGTCAAGAGGAAGATGACACGGATGTCCAAGCACACCAGCTTCCACCCCCGCTATAAAGAGACCATGATCAATCTCATCAAGACTGTCATCATCATCCTCAGTAAGTTACTTCTTGCTCTAGTCGTTTGGGATGGTACATTGGATCTCTGTCCCTTGGCTGTTGAGAGGGCATGTGCCCAGTGCAGCTAAGACAAGAGAAATGGTTTTGAGGTACCTGCCAGCTTCTCTTATCTCTGGGAATGCAGGGGGAAGGTATAGCTTAGAGATGCCTTGGTTCTGTTATAACCTGCATGTGACTGCAAGTGGCTGCCAAGGTGCTGTTTTGGGCAGCACTAAGACACATGTGCCCTCTGACTATACCCCATTTTCCTAGATTTACGCCCAGTGCTTCCGCCTTATCTTGCCTGCTTCCTGGGAATGGTGGAGCCAGGGGTGCCAGCTGTCTGCCACCTGGGGTTTCCTGCAGGCTGACAGAATCCTCAGCCAGCCAGACCTGCTGGCTTTACAGGTCCCTGGAGACAGCGCAGAGGGCAGCAGAGATGCTGAGTATCCAGCCCTGCCCTGTATAAAGTGAGCTGTTGGTTTTATGAGTGTTCTTAATGTGTTTCACACAATATAAGCTGTGCTTTTGAAGGATCTGCTCACTTGTGGCAACATCAAACATCTATTGATCACTCGATCGATTTGTATTAATCACCACAGTATGTGAGTATCTCACAGAAGTCACCTGTGCACCGGTTTAAAATTCTTTATGACGTCCCATTCATCTTCCTCAGTCACCCCATGCCCAAATAGAGAAACTAATATTTATTCTCTTTTCTTCCTTTCACTGCTTGCCACATCCCTTTTTCCCCTTTCTTGCTTACTGTTTTCCTTTTTTTTTTCCTAATGAGAGAGAGAAAAGAGGGGAGTTATACACCCCCCCTTCTCTTTCTGCCCTAACATGGCCCTTCAGCAGCTGCAGCTTTAATTGCTGAGCTTCCAACAGGTATGATAGTTCGTTTCTCCTACCAGATCTGCCTGTTGGTGGGTGCTTGAGTAGAGAAATACTCAAAATATTTGGGTCTTATAAAATGGGAGTTTATCAGGGACTTGCATAGAACTGGGAGCTATAAGGGAGCTTAATAAAGAAGTCCTCAGCGCATCATTCTAATATAATAAAAGCCTTAGTGTGTCTGTCTGTCTGTCCGTAAGGCTTCATTTGCATTCTGGTTGGTTGTCTCGGCCGCCAATCAATGCTGGCTGACGCAGCTGGTCAGAGTGCCCTGCAGAGACAGACACATGCGGCATTACAGCGGGGACCGAGGGGCCGAAGCGGTGTGTGGGGGTAAGACCAGCCCTCGCCCTCTCCCTGGCCCTGCTCCTTGGAGGCAGCACCGGCACAGGGTGCTGGCAACGCAGCGCTGGACTTGTCCCTCGCCACCGCATCCAAGGGGTGGCCACGTGCCTCCCCTCCATGAACAGAGAGGAGTGGGGATGAGAGGGTGGGGAGGCCCCATGGGGCTGGAGGTGGAGCAGTGGCACTGTGGGGCACTGAGTGGTGACACTCTGTCCCCCCCATTCATGGGCCATTTGCTAGTCTTTTAATAAAGGGCAGTGATGACAATGAAAAGATATTTTAGATTCGTATTTTCAAGGAAGGTAAAAGAATCTAGTGGCTAACACTGTCAGTGGTATTTGGATCCTTTGAAAATCCGTTTTGGGTCCTACTCGAGCTTTCCTGAATCTGCTCTGAAGATGACATAATTTTGGAGACTCTGAAATACCAGGTCCTGTGTGCTCCAAGGGGATGTTCTCGCTGAGAGTCAGCGGAGCAGACTTCTGGGTAAATTGGTGATGCTCTGGTGAAGTCAGCTCAGTTCTGTCCAAACCGCATTAAGAGAACATGGTCCAGATAGGTTTCTCCCAGTTTTTTTGGTCATTGTTCTGCATGGAGCCAGTGCTCTCCATCCCCAAAACAGCTGCAGGTCAGTGCTGTGCAGTTTGTAAAGGACAGGGCCGGACACAGGCATGGGCAAACCAGGTGGCTGCCCAAGGCCTGGACAGAAAGGAGGCCTGAAAATGGTAATTTTAAAATTATTATTATCATTATCTGTGGTGAAGGGGGACCCAATATTAAAAGTTTGCTTGGGGCCCCCAGGAGTCTAGGTACAAGTGCTGGTAAAGGGCTTTAGGGTGTTTGGATTGAAAGGCATCATATATACATGAAATATTATTTGTAGTAATAGCCATGCAGGCTTCAGTTCACTTTGATACCATATGTCTAGGTGCTGCCATGTACCTGGCACATTAGTGTGGTGTGTCCAGTACTGGCACAGTGAGATCCTCTAGTTCTTTCTCACCCTTAATAGTCTGAAGTGTTTAATCAGAATAAAATAAATGATCTTGCTAAGCTCCACTGCAGCCAAGCTGGGCTCTGGGACTGCGGTCACAACCTCCTAGCTTGCAAATCTTTTCTGATAAGTGTAGAATTTGCTCTGTCAGGAAAACCTTCAAACTGCAAACAAAGAAACTACTCCCTGCAAACTCCTGCTGGCAGGGCTGGGCTGAGGAGGGGGAGGGGGAATGGGAACTTGAGCCTAGTGGTTCCTTGGTGTCTTCCTGTTGGAGGGGGAACAAGCTCTTTCATCCTGTTGCAACTTGCAAACAGCAGCAGTTAGGATTTTGTGCCCCTTTCTGATTTAGTTGTGTGCCTTCCCTAAATCAGCCCTGCTCTCAGCAGGGAGCCTGTAGTTGCCTGGGAATCAACCTGATGTAGCACAGGGATCCAAAAAGCTGAAAAACATTTTGTTTTGCTTATTTTGCAAAGCCAGGGAAAGGGAAGTTTGTTTTCTGTCCCCCACTTATCCTAGTTGCTAGTCCCACCCTGGGTGAGTGTTACCAGGATTGACTAGTCCCTGGGATTTGGGAGAGCCAGGCTATAAAGGAGGAAGGGTTCTGGTTACTGGACAGGTGTGACACACTAGGTGTCTAGGGTGAAAACAAATACAGACGTGACCTACCTCCCACAGTAAAAAAACTCCCTCTGCCCCCTCTCCATCAAGTCTGTCCTCCCAATAGAATTTGCCTTCCTCAGCTGCCTTGCTCTGGGAGCCAGCTGGGCAGGATTTGAGAGCCAGTGTAGGTGCAAGTCTGCAGGGAGCTGAGGTGGTGGTTGAGTGGAGGCTTTGAGGTGTGGGGGAGACCTGACATAAGCAGTACTTGGGGAGGAGAGGAACTGAATGAGCCCTCTGGTTTTGCCGTCTTTATGGATCTATATTTGGGGAAAGTGCCAGCGCTGTCTCTTCACTGAAACATCTGGGTGCATGGGAGGAAGGAGAAGAGAATGAGGGAGTTTTTACTATTCAAAACTGAAAAATACCTATTAATGTCATGCCTCAGCAGAGCTGTAAGTGTAGAGAATTTCTGCCCTCTGAAAAACTCTGTACAGTTCCTTCCCACGCCCAAGCTCCATGCAAGCTGAGGCTCTGCCACAAGAATATTTTGCCCTTTACGCATTGGAGGGTGTGGTGGCTGCCAGGTGTGTGATGACAAGAAGGAAGGTGGAGGAGCTTAATAGGTGCTGTGTGCCTAATTCCTCTGGACAGTGAGGGAGCAGTGGCTCTAAAACCAGTAGATCACAAACATTAAAAATATGGTACAAAGACCTAAAAGAAAAGAACTGAAGGAGAAGGGAGGAAGTAGGGGTGGGAGGTGCAGGAGATGGGTAAGGGAAGGCCCAGCCCTGCTCCCACTGAAATCAAGAGGAAATTTTGCAAGTCCAGTGATGTAAAACAGGCCCCTAATCCTGCAAAACAGATTCATTGCTGAGCAGGCTTCATTCTGCGCATGAGTTATTAAAAGCCCATGGGGACTCTGGACAGCAGGAGGCATTATCTCTCAGTCCAGACGTCGTGGACTTCAGCTGTATCCTAACAGGGCTACTCCAGATAAGAGCTGTGGAGTCTTACAAATGTCTGTGCCCTTCAGGGCTTTAAAGCAAGTTGGGATGAGGTCAAGGCTGTTGGGTCTGACAGTGAGACATCCCATCCTTGTTTAGATACGTGGGCGGGTGTGTGCATGACGTGCCATCTCTTGAAAGTCTCAGACCTTATGAGAGCAAAAGGATGGAGCAAGCAGACAACATGATGTTCTCATGCCATGTGCCATGGGTCAGGGCAGGGTTTGGGCAGGGAGGGTGCTGGGAGTAGGACTAAATGTCAGGTATTTTTATAGCAGACTAACTCTTCCCCTTGCCTTGCTTGTCTGCCTGCCTTGCTCTCTCAAAGACCATCTACCCCTTACACACAGGCATCTGCCCAAACCCAAAACCAGCAGGGCTGGAGGTGCTGTAACTGTTGATATTAAAATAGTTTAATTGGGAAAGAATTTGTGCAAGTAAACTAACCCACTTGAGATTGTTGAGAGAATGATAAACATAAAATACACAGAAAAAGATCATATCTAATTGAAGTCACCAGCTTCCAAACTAACAATTTGAGCACAAACCTGAAATCCAGGAATCCCTGAATACTAAAGCTCACTATGCTGCTGATTTCCTATGTGATCCTTGCAAGTCTCTTAGCTTTGTGTCTCAGTTTCCCTACTTGTAAAATGTGAGTGATGATATTGATCACCTCTAGAAGAAAGGGGAGAATATTAGAATTTATTTAGGGAAGGCAGAATGACAAGTCCTCACTCTGTCCATACAGTTAGGAAAAATGGAGCAAGATTGTGAAGCAGTTAATTGTTCGTTAAAGGAAATAAGCACTTGGCTTATGTTAAGCATCCAGGTGTTTGGCATGGGGGAAGGATAAATGTATGCTATAGGAGGACTGAAAAGTTGCTGACATAAATAATCTTAACGGGGCCATCAATAGTGTTTGCAAAAATGGTGTAGGAAAGTGCTTTGCTCTGTGGCGAGAGGCAGCAAAGTTATCAGCCTGAGCAGGTTCAGCCAGTAGGTTAAGATTGGCGAATATGGATTTTCCCAAAAGCACATGGATTTTTTTTTACTCCTAAGTAACAGTTTAGACAATACCTTTGTTAGGTGAGCAAAGTACAAGGAGATGGAGATAATAACAAAGTCTCTAGGATTCTGTTGAGCCCGTATTGTGAACTGTCTGGTACGATGAGTTGGATTTTCCAAGGAAATCCACGGTCCTTTAGGCCAGTGTTTCCCAACCTTTTCCAGCCCAAGGCACATTACATTAATAAACCTGTTAAGGCACTCCCCATCCTCATACCTATTGTAGCTTATTGCCATGACAAAATTCTGCAGCACACATGTTCATTTCTGAGGGCACACTTTTGTGCCTCAGCACACTGGTTAGAAAACACTGCTTTAGGCACAAGAGTAGGAATCAAATTATCAGATGTGCCCCTGAGTATTGTGTACTGAGCACTTGTGACAAACTAACCGTTCATGAAACACTGGGAGCTGGTAGGAACCGAGTTCTGTACAACTGGCACCAGATTTTGCAGTTGTGGACCCTTTAGGAACCTGTGCCTGCTAAAGAAAGGTCCTGCAACTGCTGTGGTGCAGGTTTGCACACACTGGTGAGAATGGCATTAATGATACAGCTGTGGGTTTACTTTTACTTACTTATTTATGCTAGAAGTAAATGGGACCAAAGTGGCAATCTTGTAAGTTTATTGGAGGTACAGCTGCCCAGAACATGGTTACAGCTGCCTTGTCTACACTGAAGTTTGATCAGTTTGTTCAAGAGATTATATGACTTGGTTCCTTGTGATAGCAGGGAAGGGGACTCTGACCCAGGAAGTTCTTTTTCCGCAGGGTTTCTAACCCAAGACCATTTTGTCATTATTGACAATCTGAAAACTTTTTACTAACAACCAGATTTTGTTTTACTGATGTATGATTTACATAATGTAAATGTAACTTTTCTGCCAGACCCTGGGCAAGAGTTGGATATAAACCATAGTCAAATCATGCTTCCTCTCCAGCCTCACTCCCATTATACTGGAAGAGAGCCCCAAAGAAGGACTGCATCTGCCTGGCTGCCACCCAGCAGTGTTTCAGGCAGATGGGACCCAGCACCAGCTTGTGGCTGGGAGTTGGGGAAGGACCTACACACAGTCCTGTGGATCGCAGAGCTCCCTTCAGGGTGCTGTGCTTCCATTCAAACATCAGGTGATGCTTCTGTGCTCAGTCTGTGCTTCAACACTGTGTCCAACTTCTGTCCCACCATAGAGCAACAGTCAGCTTTGGTGGGTTTGTGTTTTATTGGACAGCACCAATTTTCACAGGTGTTTTTGCCTGGTTATTTACAGTGTCTGTAAACTTAATGGACAGTTGGCAACCCTACTTCTATACATTCTTATGTTGCTACACCACTTCAGGGATCAGTGTTTTGTTCAGAGCAGCCCCTTTGGCCATTTGTCTTCTCTGGCAGATGTTTTCCAATAAAGGGTATAGCTAAAAAGCTCTTGGTGACCCACTCCTTTTCCTCCACCCTTCCCCAGGACAAAGGACACAGTACAACCCTAGGGTAACAAGACAAATCCTTGAGCTAGCATGTCAGAAACATGTATGAGGAAGTGTACTTGTTTATTAAACAGCTTCTTAACCAGAAATGTGACTATAAATAGCAAGTTTTCAGAATGCACAATATTCACCCTAGAAATCCTCCCCCTGTGCCCTTTTCCCACACACAATAATAATTATATTTTGCCCTTAGACACTCCTCCTCTACCTAACAGCTTTACAAATGGTAGGATTATAGGAAGGGCCAGACTGGATCACACTATCAGTTCATCTAGCTCAGTCTCCCCTTTCTGACAGTGTGACCAGCATTAGGTGGGTCTGACCAGTTACAAGAAGCCTGTGTGAGGCAGGGATCCTATCATCTTCCAAGCCCTCATAGTCAGAAGTTGGAGTTTATACCCTGTTACAGGAAAGGTTAGATTATTTATTTAATTCTAACTGTTATAACTCTGGATAGTCTTGTCATTAATTAAATGATTAAACATCCAAATAATTTCTAAATGTTGTCAAGCTCTTTTCCTTAGGAAAACCTTGTGGCAGTGAGTTCCACTAGATAACTGTGCATTATGTCTGGAAAAAATGTTTACTTTTCTCAATGTTGGATTTACCACCTTTCAGTTTCCCTATTGTGTTAAGACCAGGGATCCTGGTTTTCTCTGAAAAAAAAATCCCCAATTTTTGGTTTAAAAAAAGTAACTCCAAATCCACGTTTTTGGATCCCTGGTTATGACAGGGTTATTAGAAATTCTGTGAACATTCATTATTCTGCTTTCCTGCATCCCATCCTCTCTTAATAATTTATTTTCTAAGAGAGATCATCCCAATCTTTCTGTTCCTCTTCATGCACTTGCTTTTTCAGGTCCTTGATCACAGCTTGTTTTTCTTCTATGAACCCACTGTAATCTGCAGTGCCTTTTTGAGATAGGGTAGCTAATACTGCACACAGAATCCTGGTACAGATGAACTGTTGATTTACATGTCATGGGAATATTTTTTTTGTTTTGTTTTTTTCTTATCCATCCAGTTGTTTTATTTGCTTTTTACATTGCAGCTTTACAGTGAACTGAAGCCTCCATTCAACTGCCCACCGTGATGCTGGGGACTTTTGTTGAGTCAATACTGATAATGGAGTCTTGTAAAGTGAATCATTAAAAGGATTCCCTCCAATGTGCATGTCTTTACATGTGTCAACAATTACATTTAATTATATGTACATAATAATTCTTTTCCTCCCTGGAGAGGAGTGGAAAGGAGGAGAGTGTCAGTTCCGTCTTCATCTTATAAATGGAAAAAATGAGGAAAAGGGAGAAGAGTAGAACTAGCTGTGAATTTTTCATCTACATTCTTTTTCAACAGAAAATGTTTTTTTTCAGAAAAAATTTTTTTTGCTGTAAGTGTTCATTTTAAATGACAGGTTTCAGGTTTTTCTATGAAATCTCCAAAAACTTTAAGACAAGTTGTGATGAAAATTTTAATACTTCTTTTTCATGTAAAAGTTTTTGTGGGGCAGGGAAAACCCCTGTTTCCTCACCAGTTCTAGAAGCAAATGATTTGCCCAAATCCCCCTGTCAGTCAGTAGCACAGCAAGGAGGCCTTTCTTTTCCTCTAATATCTTTTGTTTTTTTTCCCAGGTGCCTTTGTTATCTGCTGGACTCCAGGACAGGTGGTGCTTCTCTTGGATGGGTTGGGCTGCAAAAGTTGCAATGTGCTGGCAGTGGAGAAATATGTCCTCTTGCTGGCAGAGATCAATTCAGTGATCAATGCTATTGTCTACTCCTACCGGGACAATGAGATGCGCAGCACCTTCCGAAAGATTCTGTGCTTCATCTGCTATAGGAATTCCAAATACTCACCTGCACCCATGAAGCTAAATGCTGCAGACCGCAGGTTATTCACTCAGAACGGTCACTCTACTGCGGACTCCTCGATCTAGTCCCAATGTCCATAAATATATATATACATATGAAGACTGTGGATAGCAAAGACCTTGGGTGGCCCATTTGCAAAGCAGAACAACAGTATTTTTTTTTAAAAACTTCTCCAGTAAAAATGTTTGGATGAAATATTTCTGTCAGCTCTGTGAGGCAAAAATGCTTTAAAGACATACCCACTGGTATATTTCTTGGGACAAACATATTTTGAAATATATTCCTGCTATTAAAGACTGCTATTTTAATAGCATAGTTGATTTAATTTAGCAGCATCCAGCAGGCATGCTATATGCTAACCAAGACCCTTGCATAATTCTTTCTACAAACGAGACTTGTTTTTTTAATTCTTCAGTATTAATGTCTACACAAATTACCTTTCCAGTGCTAGGATACTGCAGGGCCAAACCCCACTTTATTCAGTCCTTTGTTAAGCACAGCATCTTCTGATTTCAGTGAGATGATTTTCCTGAGTGCGTCCTGTGCTAGGTTTTAATCCAGAGTTTTGTAAAATCATGTTCTCTTCAAAGACCCCCTAGAGAGGCTTCAGTGTGCATGAACTTCATTTTTAAAAAACATGTTCCTACTTTGGTACGGTGTCTGTTACTGAATTTCAAAGTATTCATTACTTTCATAGGATGTCCAGGAACACGTAACACTTTCCTGAGACCACCTGAGCTATGCTGCAACTAAAAAATCCAGTTGTGTTACTCTTCTGTTAGGTGATGCTACATGGGAGGTTTGACTGCAAATTTGTTGCCTGTTTGTAAAGAAGGGATGAGTCATGTTCCTTGAAACAATAATTTTCCACTCATTAAAGTTCCTTTGGGACAGGTTTTATGTTAGATTCCAAAGTAATCAGCACTTTGCCTTAGGTTTAATATAGTGTCTGTAGCTTAAACTCTTCAAACAGCTTGTTAGCAGCTGAAACTTGGTTCACCAAACCCCTTCCTCTTCACACAGCAGCCTGACAAATGTAAAGGATTTTTCAGCACTACTTCACTTAGGGTCACATTCTCTGTTGGGGTAAATCTTTACTTCATTGTGTTTACTTCATCAGAGAATCTGGCCCTTGAAATGTATATGAACATTGCATATGGTGTCACTGACATCACAAAAGAAAGATAATATTTATGATGCTGGCCATGTGAGTGACTACAAACTACTCCAAGATGGTGTCATATCATTCAGAAAGCTTTAGGTGGGGTTTGTAAAACTACTTAATATTGGCCTGACTGCCCCCATGGAAGTTGGTGGGTATTTTACCCATGGGTCCATAGAAACAGAACAATACTGAGCTCTTTTGAAAGCCTAGGCCATAATTTCTAACAAATAATATTTAATTTTCAAACATGCAGTAACCTGAATCTGAAGGGTTTGAGGTCCATCCCAGCTGTCTTAAACTCTGACCTTCACAGACCCAAAGTTAATTAAGGGATTGCTGAGCCAGTGTGGAATTAGACAGACATTTGTTTAGTCTCTAACCTTGAGATCTTTCAGGGGCAACTTTACATACGTAGTTACCTTTTTTTTTAGATAGATGATTATCACCAGCCACAGCATAAACAGCTTACAAACACAGAGCTTAGGTATGCTTGGAAGCTGCTTAGCTTTCAAACTTCCAGAAAGAAAATGAGTAGTGCTTTCCTATACTGGCAAGGATTTAAGGAAAGAGATCAATTCAGCGCAGTGGTACTTAACCTTCTGGCCCTGTAGGCTGGATGAGTGGAGTGGGGCCAGTCCATGGGTCCAACTCCATGTGCCAGCTCAGCTACTTGTGTGACCCTGTGTACCATCCCAGCCTCACCTGCCAGACCTGACCTTGCTGTGACTGCACACACTGGCTCAGCTCTATGTGCCAGATCCAGCCTGATGCAGTGGAACATGGAGTTGTCATCCCACCCACAAGGCTCCCAACATGTACAGATGTTTCGTGGTTGGGGGGCAGTGGCAGTATTGATTGTCTCTGTTTGTTTGATCCACAGCTGCAGTAATTAACACTGCCACTGCTCCGCTACAGACCCACAGGGAGCTCCACAGGCCAGGTAACACACACTTGTGGGCTGGAGATTTGAGCACCACTGCTCCAGGTGGACTAGTAAGAGTTAGATTCAGGAGCTTTGTTGACTCCTGAATATAGTCCAAACCCCAGAGTTTTCCTGCTGTTTCCACAAAAAGCCCCAAAGCAGCAAGTCATTAAAAAGATTTCCACCAAATACAAAGCAAAAAAGTCCCATCTTGGAAATAAATATTTGTTCAGAGTCCCTCATTTAGTAACAGGAAAAAAACCTGTAAACATTCACATAAATAGTAGTGTTTAGATGTGGATCAGTACTAAAATGATTTCCAAGGGACAGAATATTCATCATATTGCAGTTGACTATGAGCGGGTCTTTGTAGTGGGTGAAATGACATGCAAAGAACTGCAGTTGGCTTTTATGCCCAATTGGGCCTTTATTAAGCTGTGCACATTCCTCCCAAAGGACCCTGCAAACTAGCCTGACCTCATGCTGCTGGGCTACAGCTGTTGTACAGTGTTAGAGAGCAATAAGAGTCCCTTCTTAAAAGTGCTTTCACACAGGTGCCCTTCATAGAGGCAAGAAAGCTGTCTCTGTTAGTGTCCTTATTAGATGATGTGCTGATACTGTAAAGGCTTGTATTGTCTCTGTATTTTTACTTGGTTTGTTTCAAGTTATCCTGACAGTCACACTTTTGGGGGAAGTATAGTTAGAATATGGCTAACTTTTATCAGCCAGACACTTCCCTCAGACTCCTGCATCAGAGACTGCCAGTGCTTTATTTGTGCCAGTGGAGTCTGAGTTTGAATAATGATGACAAAATGCAAAAATTCAGCTCATGATTTAGTCTTCTCCTTCAAAATAGGTTTCCCTTCCTTCAACCAAAACAGTAACTAAAAAGAAAGGGGGGATGTCCCACACCTGTGAGAACAAGCATCTGAGTGACAGCTATCACTCATTTAAGAGTGGCTTGAGTGTTTAATAAGGCTTTTCTTCCTGAGTGATTTAACCTGTAGAAATCCAGCAGATTTTAAGATGTATGAAACACACAAGGCAGAATGAAATCAGGAGGCATAGAAGCTAGGGGCTGGAAAGTGATGTTTTAAGATAAGACTTGAAAAGAGATGGCAAATCAGTAAGTTGGAGGAGATATAGGGAGGATTCTAGCATGTGGAGAGACAAACCACATAGCACTTGAAAACACTGGTGGAAGGGGGAATAAATGGTATGTACAGACTACACATAATCAAAAGGGATCTTAGACGCTTAAACATACTGGTCGTGTTCACTTTCCACCTTCCATTGTTGAAAACCCAAAATGTCATCCAATTATGTGGTGTCATGACTTGCATGTTTATATTACATTTCTCATTCATCTTACTGTATGCCTAACTAAATACTTTGCAGGAAAGGTTATGATGTTATATGCCGATATATTAACTTTCTCTGGGCAACTTAGAGTCTCCAGATTTAATTTTCTCACTGCACGATGAATGAGATGCCATCGAGTGCATGTGAGTTCTGTCTTTACTGTCATACAGGATTCATGACTCACTGAACCTGTGCCAGTTCTTTCACCTCAGATGTCTTGGCTCAGCGCACAGTGCAGCGGTACTGGCTGTAAAGCTAGCATCCCTCACTCTGTTCAGTTCAAGATTTCTAAAATCAGTGTGAAAGTGGCTTTGCAAGCTCATCATCTTTCATTAAATTTCTTCTGATGAAGAAATCTCTCTGGAGTTTGAACTTGGACAGCATTGTATTGTTCTAGATGTCAGAGGTGCATGTGACTATTATAGACTTAATGAACGTTGGGTGGGAGGAAAGAGAGATCTAGGAACTATTTTTAAGGGATCAAATATGGGACATATGAGGACACACCGCTTGATCAAAGATAGGCTGCATGGCTCCAAGAATGAGGGGTCGTGGCTTCCTGGCTAGTTGGAATTCCTTAAGCAAGTTGCTGCCAAAAGTAATATGGGGCAAGTGTATTCTGAAAGGACCTGACACACTGGAGATTAATATTGAAGGTTCTGTGGAAGTTTGATTTATTGGAACTGAAACTGGTGTAAGGGGTGAAGATGAGTGAAGAGAAGTAGGATTGTTAAGGGGAAGTTATTTATGTATACCCCCAAAACCTTCCAAAGAATTGGGGAAAAATGTCCGTTTTGTAGCGACCACTTTGGCATCAAGTAACTGAGAATAACTACAAGCCTGTCATCTAATTTTAATAAGTAAAAAATAATTGGTTTAAGCGAAGGGAACAATTAATATTTAAGGCTAGTAAGGACAGGTTAGAGGATTATGAGATCAGTAAACAATGAACATAAACGTTTGGGGGGGTTTCTGGCTTTGAACATGCATTGATGTAGCTGCAAAACCTGGCTTCTTTCTGCCATGGAAAGTGCATGTAGAAAAGAGGTAATACAGGAAAGAAAGGTCACATCAGTTATTCCCTGTGGTATTTCCATGAGAAGCTTTCCATTGTGTCCTTTAAATCATCCTGAGGGGGAATATTTGTTTTGGCCAGTACAAACGTTTGTATAAAAAGCACAATGGTAGTATCCAAGAGCAGCTGGGTTTCCTGAATATGGGTCGTCTGGGGATTGCAATCAGTCATTTAATAGTAATTCTTATGCACAGCTGGTGGCTGAGAGTTAGCAGTGAGCAGGATACTTGAGGGCTTTCCATGCTGGTACACAGAATGTGTCCCAGCCCAATAGACTAGCTTTAAATGGACTTTTCAGGAAGTTTGGCTCTAGCCCCTCCAGATCTTGTGACCATGGTGGGAGGGAAGCTTAAGTATAGTGTCACAGTTGTGAGATACTAGCAGAGATTGTGAACCAGGATCAATGTTTTCTGACTTGGGGAATTACATGTAGGCATCTAGACCTATGTTTAGGGACCTGCTTGGTAAATCAGTGGTCTCAGTGGCAGCTTCCATTGAGGGAGCTTGGTGTTCAGCATCCATGAAAATTGGGCTGCTCAAGTAGGTGCTTAAACATAGATTTGGGTACATGACATTAGGAATGTGAGCTGGAAAATACTGACTCCAGGTGTTATATGGGCTGTCCGGTTATTAAAATACCTGATTCCCATATACACTGCCATGCTGTCATAGAGGTACAAAGAGACTGTACTATGAATCAGATCATACGGTGCTTCTTGTAAAGAGCAGTGTTTATGGTTGATCTCCCTACACTTCTGTAGCTTGCTGTGTCCCTGGCCATTCAGTAGTAGTTATTGTGAATAAATCCTATGAGAATGTCTCTTTTGCTGGACCATAGGCAGTTCTCATACTTCCGGCATAAGCAACCTCCAACTATTGGGAGATACGAGGAGATTTTTCCTGGCGCAGTTTATCCTGCAATGGACAATGCGAAGGTGTCTGGCATCTTCTGAATGAATTGATAGTAGTTACAATCAGAGATTGGGCTAACTGGGCCCCTGATCAGCTCTAGTCTGGAGACTCTGATGTTACTGCATTTTCAGAGATCTTGCTACTAGGCTGCTGGCTGCTTTTGAATTTCAGAACTAGGATGCTCAGATACAAAGCTGATGGTGTAGTATAAAACATGACAGTACTACTGCAGATGGGTCCTTGACAGTCCACAAGTTAAGGTAGGAACTGTGATAAATACCCTGTAGAGAGTACAAGAGGGTGGAGACTGGAATCTATTAGTGTGTTCTTTGAAAATCAGCCACGTAAGTAAACTGTTTACTAACATGTTTTACTTGGTCAAAGTTGTTTTTGAAATGTCTTGTCCTTTCTTGCATGCTGCAGCACAACTCATTAAGTGAGGTTGTTTTAATAGGCCTAAGTTTTGTGTTTGGCTGTTGGGTATGTAAATGCATCTTTCTCTTTATAAATCTAGCTTTTTTTATTAAAGTATTTACCACACATTGTAAATAAATCAGACCAATGAGAATGCACATCTCCAGTTTACATTCATTTAAACATACATTCAGTTTGGATGACTAAACTCTGTCTGTGTCAAATGGAGCCTGTGTTTTTTTCAAAAGCATGCAAAATAAGAATGCTCAAGTACTGATGCATTAAATAACAAAATAATATCTACCACATGGCAAGCATGAAGTGCAGAAGACCACTGCTCTATGCTGTTCATGTTACATCTTCAAACTTTACTCAAAATATCAAGTTGTATCTTTTCATCGTTCTCTGCTGACTGTTCCTGATGAAGCCAGCAAAACTTAAGAGTGTTTAGTATCTCCAAACATTAGGTCATTTTTGTTTAGATGTCTAATTTTATGCACTCAGGTTATGGCCTTATATTTTCCAGGTTTTGAAATTATTTTTTATAAGAATGTAGGGTAAACAATGAAAACTAGTAATAAGATGTAATTAGCTTTTCCTTGGGAATCTGCAAAGTCCACACTATATCCTCTGGCCTTTTAAATATTGAGATTTTGGGACAGATCCAGAGCCAAGGAACTGTTTTCTAATGAGCAAAGCCCATTGCAGAAAGCTTCTTGACTTCTTTGCTAAAAGCTACTATCGCTCTATAGCTTGGGGTAGTTCCGGCCTTTGCTTGGCAATACCTGCCCATCAGGCAGCAGAATAAATGTTGGAGCCTTCTGGAAGTTTACAAGCAGATTTTTAAACATTCCTTTGACCTTAGTAGCTGTTCCTTTGACTGCTAACACCTGCTGTTTGCATCATCACCACAGCATCCAGCAGGGTCAGGGAAGAAATTCTTTTGCAAATGATGCCTGACACTGACTTCTTGATGAAAAGGGTTCCTTCGTGGACAATGCAACCAGCCCCACCCAGACAGGGAGGATTTCAGGTATGACACAGCAGAGAGGACTGGTAATTTTACAGTGACCAGAGCAGTTACAGAAGGTGCCAGATAGATGTGGCAAGGAGGATCTCAGATTTGCCCATATTTCCAACAAGAAGAAAACCACACTTTAGTGTTGCAGACTTGTCAGCTAACAAGTTTGGCCTCTTTAATGAAGCCTGTAGATGGTGAGCATAGAGCCCTGCACTGGCTTCAGCGTAGTATACATCTAAGCAGGAACATACGCAAACATCCAATTGTCCCTTGTCAGTGTGGACTGTGCGGTTTGTCTTCCTGGCTTGCCCTCTAGCGCTTGTTCTCCCCACTTAGAATAGCAGTTAGCAGTATTAGCACAAAATTCACTGAGAACGAGAAGTGGAATTTGGCACGTTACACCAAGAGGTTTCTGTAAATGGCTCTAACACCACAAAATCCCTTTAGTCTAGGCCTTGGTGTTCTGGAAAATTAAAGGGAAACAAAATTATGGGAAGTGGGGATTCAAAACTCTGCTTGGGCTTTTTGCAGAGCATCTAGGGCCTAGATTTGGGCACCGCAAAGTTGGGAAATTTCAAAGCAGTATGTGAGTGCTTTGAAATGTGCTGTTAGAAAGGGGGCTGGTCACCTGTTACCCACTCCCTTGGATAGGCATTTGCACAAAATATTTCTCAAGTCAGAATGGTAGCACTTCAAAGCCCAGAAAAAAGAGTAGTACCATGAAAGCACAGCACAGCACCTTAGCACAGGGAGGACCTGGAAATCTCAGTGGCTGGATGTTTAGCTATGCCCAAACACAGACAGCCAGAGGCACCTACTACTGGTCTCCTTGTCTCTCTCTCTCTCTCTCTTCTTTCCTGGGTTTCTGTGCCTCTGATGCCTCCTCAGCTCTGATGCTCTCTTTTTTGTGGCCCTTTGGACTGTTCAGAGAAGTCACCCTCTTTATTGCAGAGACTTGGAGTTCAGACAAGATACATGCCAGTGGCTAATGTTTTTGCCAGGAAATTTTAGAGGGTGCAGTGAGGTTGTTAGTGTCAGGAACTCAAAAGAAATAAAACCACCTAGCTGTAAATATTGAGCTCAAAGTCCAGGGCAAGACCCAGAAGTATTTTATAAATTTTTGTGCTGGAAACAGTAGTGGAAAATGTGCATTACCAGTGAGTCTCTAGAAAAGCATCAGTGCTGCCACAAATGCCCACTGGGTGGTGTCACATCTCAGTGACAGTCCTACTATACTTTAAGAAATCAAAAGAAGGCTGGTCTATGGAGGGAGCCTGAAATATTGATAGAGAGGCCAAAGGGCACTTAACAAATATGGAGGAGCCTGTGATTCACTGATATTTCCCCCCTTGTCATTGTTTAGCACCTGAGCATCTTGGACATAATGTTCATAAATAAATGGTTCAGTCTCTCCTGTCTCCTGGGAATTTGCTTTATATTGTGCTTGCCAATGAGCATGGAAAATCTTACAGCAGAATCACTGTTAGTGTCAGACAGCAGTACCGATTATCTGGTAAGCCACTCTGCACGTAAGATAGTGCATGTCCACTAGGAGGCATTCAAGAATAGTGTTTCATTTATTGGTTTGTGACACTTGCTGTGGAAAGTATTTACACTTGAGACCTGTAGTTAGTTGTGTTAGTCTGAAGTAGAAGTCAGGGTAAATGTCACCTTATAGAACAGTAGATATGTACAGTACACGCTTTTGTAGGCTGAAGCTCACTTCATGAGATTCGCTTTACACTTGTTCAAAAGTGTCTACAATTCTCCCATCAGGCTGATGTCTTTATATTTGCTTTTGATTCTTCAGCTACTTGAAAAAGATGTAAATAACTATAGGAGGTGCCCTGCTTATCTTATGATTACTCTGAAATACAGCTCTGGGCCTCTCCTGTCAGAGGCTGTCTGGCCACTACAGAGGCTGAAATTCTCTTCTACATCATAGGAGTGTCTGTCTCCAAATAAAGTAAGTGGCAAGAAATTCAGACTGCAACAAGGGTTAAATACAAATTCCACCCCCTGCCCCCAAATCAGCCAGTGCTGAAAATTGGTGTCTGTCTAGGTAAACAGATTCAGCTGGGTTCAGCATCCCTTGTCCTTGACTGCATTAGACCTTGTCCCTAAAACTTCCCAACAGTGTACTAGCATTGATGCAGCTCCCTGTTGGAAACGTGCATACAGAGCAGGTGCTAGCTGTGACTGTTCTCTTCAGTGAAGTGAATAGACTTTTGGTGTAAGAACATACTTTTGCAAACTGCTTGAACAAAATGGTATGTGCCTCTGTGGGAGGCACTGTTACATCACCAGATATTGAATGCAGCGGATTCTGTGTTGTACATGGGGCCTGAAACATTACCCCAGAGCAGAGGTTCTAATCTGTCAGCCTGCTTGCTGTTTATCTCACTCCTGACTCATAATATTAATAATACTCACATACTTCTAACACAAAAACCTAGGAAATGTTATCTTGATGTTGATCTATATCAAATACACATACAGAACATTATCTAGTATCAGTGAATATCAGACACATTTATGACAATGCATCATCCAAACATAAATCATCTCTTTGGATACAGTAAGAAACTTTTTCATAATTTTTCCATTAAACAGATTTTTTTTTTTTTTTTTTTTAGAAAAAATGTATTGCCCACCCCCCAAGCTGCCAGCTTCTACCACAAATGTTATTATCTGTGTGTTGAGTTTATTGTAAAATTCTGCAATGGAAGCCAAAAAGGAGACAGAGATAAGTAAGCTTTTATTTAGATTTTTAAACCTGTGGCAACTTGTAGAATAATTCAGTTGGTGATCTGCTGCTTCTTGTTTGGACCTCAGAAGTGCTGTAGGGAAGGGTTGTGTCTCGCATGCACTCACAGCTGGGAGGGTGAAGCCCAGAACTTGGATCATCTTAATAATACCAAGGAATACTGGGAATAAGGGCCGGTATGTGAAGATTGAGGGAGGGAAGTGTCTGGTACCCATCACCTCTTTCTAATGAAGATGAAGTGATATGATTAAGTGATGCATCTGATGAAGTGAGGTCAGGATCACGAAAGTTTATGCTATGCATCTCTGATTTAGTTAGTCTACAAGGTACACATCTACCCTGTTTTCTGTCTGATTTAAGACTAACAGAGCTAACTACCTCTTTCTTTCTAATGGACATCTCTGGTGTCTGACTAGGTCTGGCCAGACCGTGGGCCTGCTGTGTCTTGTACACCAGACTTGCTGCTGAAGGATGAGCCTGGCTTTATTTAGTTGCTAACTTAGTTCTGGCCCAGTTTCTGTATGGGCAGGTGCTTTTGGCCAACCTTGAGTCAGCTGGAGACAGGTGAAGGAGATGTTCAGATATCATACTGATAAGGACAGATTATAGAATGAGTATAGCTGATGCTGGCTGGTGAGATAAAAATTAAGACCTCTGCAGGGGAGCGTCTTGATATGAAGATAGATGAGCAGTGATGGTCCAATAGTGAAAGTAGCAGCTCCATCCATTGATCATTGGAGCTCCCCTTGTGTACAGTCAGAATCCAGAAATTGTTTTAAAAGGGGCAGATATACATTTCTAAGCCTCCTAGCATTTATCTTCCCTCCCATCCAGATACAGCCATCTGCTGTTGCATGGGGATTTCAGCAAGACCTATGGGTGGGGCAGGTTTGCCTGGCCTGGATCAAAAGTTTGAGATTAAGGAGCAAATGTTATAGTATTTTTTATAAAACTAACCAACTTCTTCCTCTTTGGAAAAAGGGAATCCTTTTTTGTATTTCTACCGTGTGTTTCAGATAAGGGTTAGATCATTTTATATTTGTTTGTGAAGTGCCACCATCTTTCTGTTTGAACAGTAACTGTCCATTTTACTAACACACAGCAGTGCAAAGCAAATCAGCGTCAGACTAGAGAATAAATCTGAGGACCTGCCTCCTAGTCCCTGCTGAATCAGCACATCATACTCCCTCTCTGAATTGGGCTAGAAGCTAGGAATCCTGACAAGGGGAAGCAGTTACATGCACAGATAGACTCTGTTTCATGCACATGCATATGTGTACACATATCAAGATATGTGGACATGTATACACATCCATGTAATGGGACTAGATGCATACAAATGCAGTATATTATTTGGTCAGATAAACTCT